TGGTTATTGACGCTCTATGGATCGATAATGACAGTGCTCATGCAATCAGCCGTTTCGGCTTTTCTCGCTCCGGCTGGTATGCCAACTCTGACCTTTCCGTTCACCATGATCTGTTGGATATTTTGTCTCGTTGCTGGTTCCAGAGGTTTAATTGCTGTCAAATTAACAGCCGTCAGTATTCCCGAAGATCATTATCATCGATTTCGTCTTTCGAGATTGGTGAAGGCTCAGTATAAAATCTCAAGTCATTTGATAACTCTCTTATCATCGCAAGATGAAGATATATCATGGGAAGACCTTGCAAAGATCGAAGCAGAATTTGTTCCCATTTTAACGTGCTCGTATGCGTATCGAAATGACATCAACAGTTTGAAAATGTTGGTGAAAGAAAAGGCCAATATTCATTCGACCGATCGTAATTTGCGAGGTCCACTACACGGAAGTGCTTGTCAAGGCAGTATGATTATATGCAAATGGCTTGTTGATGATCTCAAAGTCAATGTCAATTCGGTCGATAAGTTTGGTGGCACACCATTATTCGATGCCTTTTGGCACGGACATTTTGATTTACTTCCATTTCTCTATTCGCGTGGTGCTCGAATGCCAGCATGTAAATCAAAAGAATTGGCATTGTATCTCAATGCATTTGTCTACGAAAGCAACTTGGAAGCGATCAAATGCTTAGTTGCATGTGGATTTAATCCGAATACGGGCGATTATTATGGTCGAAATGCACTGCACATGGCAACAATCACTAATCAGTTTAACATAGTTCGTTATTTAGTTGAAGAAACATGTGTCTGTTTAGATGTAGTCGATTCTTTCAAACAGACAGCTATACAGTATGCGGTACGCTTACCCGATCTTACTGTCGCTAATTATTTGTTATACAAAAGAGACAATCCTATTCCTATGAAAATATCTGAGGAAACGGCAACACTTCTTCAAACTGTAGTAAGTAGTTTAGATCATAATACGAAAAAAGAAGAAGAAGCATTTTCTATGAGCGTGGACGAAAGTCTATTCAGTATTGTTCAACTATTATGTAGTCGATCCACTTTTCACTCACGTCGCGAAAACAATTCCCCTGATACTCGATTATCAACTTCTCGCAACAACATGCTTTAGAGTGTAAAACAGACTGAATGCTCTTAGGAACACAGTTGTTCATGATGGCTTAAAATATGCTTTTTATAGTCTTTTAATTACAAAATTAAGCTAGAAAACGACGACATGTTAAACTAAATAACATGGTAAAGTCCTTTGAAAGAGTAACGCTCATACAATGTTTTTCTTGAAGGAAAAGTTCCTAGTGTTGGCGTTCTTGTATATGAGCGAAAAAGCAATTTTTTGAAAACTCTAATCTTTTTAAACACATTTTTAAGCGCATATTCTGACATTCCTTTCACTCTTCTATCAAACTTTCTCATTTGCTTTTCAATAAAGTGAAACTAATTTCTGTCACCATTCAAGGTGGGATATCCCTCAGTAATTTTATGATATTTTGTAGATCTCTCCTCTTTGAGTTAAATACGAAATTAGTTTTATGGCTCTCGGACTTTTTGCCGGACTTATCGAATTTACTAAAACATTTTTTTTCTGGTCTGCCAGCAGGACACAAAACATACTTTGAAACCGCCTTTGTGTAATGTCTCGGCTAGGGGCAGCACCCAATAATAAAAGTGTGGAAACAGGAGTTGTAGGAAATACTTTGAAAAGCAACATCATCGTTTTTCTGATCGATCCGAGTTAAACAAATTCTTAAAATAAAAAATACTTAAGTTTCAAATTGCAAAATCAGTATTTCGAAGCTTTTACAAAATTTCATCAGAGAAACAAGGGCTGGAATTGCATCATGTCACTCTCTGTACCATTGCCTACAACTTTTTTCCCCTATTGTTTTGTCGGGACGCTCCGTCTGCCCTGTGCATTGTCCATAAGCATAACTCCAGCAAAACCCAGCGGAGTTACCAGGTCTCTAACAGAAAATCTGCTTCTGTTTGAAATAAAACATTGTTCGTAAATATTTCATACTAATAGCGTTTGTTGAGAAAACGTTGATAAACGTGAATAATATTTATATGAAGAACTAGACTGAACTAAATTCATTAATAATGAATAGTTAACGAAAAAAGGGAACTAACTTCACAATAATAAATGTGGTTGGGTTCTTCGTTCAAGAATTTTCCACTCCATACTCTGTTCAGGAACAAACTGGTATGTGAAACTTTGTAGAAACGTATAACTTTTCATCCCAAATATGAGTATCTTAGAAAGAAGAGAAATTAATAATTTCGTTCAAAATTGAGTACCAAATGAATTGTCGCATGACATTGCTCATGGCCATGGCGCTGTTCACTTTTGGAGATATCGAAATGGGTTCTTTCTTTTCAAAGATTATTAAATATTCCAATTGCAATGAAAAGTTATACGATCACACAAGATTTCAGCAATAAGTATGCTCCTGAGCATAATAAAGAGTGAAATACATGCAAGCAATGTTTGTGAGTACATTCACACCATTTTTAGAATTTTAAAACTATGAATACGACTGTGGTAGAACATTCACTAGGGTCTCCATGGAAGGTTTTGCAGAAATTTTTGAAACTTGTAAACTTTCTCCCCATCCCATTTACATCTCCCCTACCCTTTTACAAAGAGCTCACGAAGTCAAACTTAAAAGTCTACAATGCTGTAAGGGAGTATGGCGTCACATTTCATGTGCACGTTTACGGAGGAAATCTGTACTTAGAAGAGATGTTTTTAATAACTTTTCAGCAGATCCAGTGAAAGCTCCTGCTTTTCGACCGATAAGTGCTGTTTGAGATTTTTTGCTACCTAAATTTCTAACTTTACAGTCCTACAAATATTTTGAGGAAAAAAAACACACCAAAAGGGTCACATTTTGCATTGTATACCTTAAAATAACCGGCAAACATACCCTCGCAGGTTTTCCACAATAATGGCCTTCATGAAGTTGGTGAATATCATATTGCTCAGTACTCACAACCACATACACAAAGCGACTCTGTAATACCTGAACAACTAGCTATTCTCTCTCTTCTGTATGAGTGTAGCTCAAAATGACATTAATAAAATGGCCGATTATCTCACACAATTTCCTCATTTCAACGCATTCGAATGTATTGACTACGATTTTCGTTCTGCAGCACATGTCGCCGCTGTCGAAGGTCACATTGAAGTCATTCGTTTTCTGTCTCAACACTGTGACAGTTCTCATTTTGAGAGACTGATGAATCGCGAAGACCGGTGGGGTCTATCGCCCATGGATGAAGCCTATCGACATGGACATTTTGGCGTCTGTAATTTTGTCAAACAACATGTACTTGCTCAGAGTGACAAGATGCATAGTGAAATGCCGCATTTACCAGAATCAGAGTCCGAGAACAACACCATTATTCATCTGTTACGAAAATGGAAGAAAGTGTTTCTTTTTGGTGCATTGGCTGCATCGGGCGCAGCTGAACGAATCGATGCACTTTTCGCGCGTGGTTATTTCGTTCAAACAGAACTCTATACAGATTATGATGGTCGCACACCCATGCATTTGGCTGCGGTGAATGGACATTTGAATGTGGTACAAGTGCTTATTCGATATCGATATGACGGCACGACGTACAAAGACCGATGGGGCAATTATCCTGTTGATGGAGCGCGACGAAAGAAATTCAAGAAGATTGTTGATGAACTAGAGCAGCATAAAGCGTAATGTATTCGTTGGTATAAGTTTCTGTACTAACAATGCAGAAACTTCAATAAAGTTAAGAATTTAGAATAATTGCGGCTATCATATTAAGAATTTTAATAAAAGTTCTAATGAAAATAAAAAATGAAAACCAAAACCAGCAAATTAAAATTACAGTTCGGTATTTCGACGCATTGATACTGTAATTCTCAAGCTACTCTTCGTACAGAATGGTACATAAAAATGGAGACAGTATAACCGATAGCATATATCTAATGCTTTTTGTCTTTCTGTCATTCATATAGGTACACACACTATCAGAGAAGACTAAGAATTATATGTGTATGACGAAGAAGGAGAAAGAGATATGATATATTACTTCAGGACGCTGTGATATTCATCAAACAAGGTCTAAAACTGATGTTTTTTCAGTTAGTTCGTCAGAAAACGCTCGCTTTTTTCCACCCACATTAAGTAGAAGTGCGAGAAGTCTTGAAATTCGTAGCAGAATTCTTAAGCCATTCAAATGTGTACTTAGTGTTGAAATTAAACGAAATTAAGAAGACGAAACACTAAAAATACTGTACTAACCGCCACTTTCGGTTTTTCTGCACATTGACATAAACGTCGAAAGGTCTGTTGTCATATGTCTCACATGTACCTTTTTTGCATTGTGCAACAGTGTCAAGCGATGTGTAACAATACGGATTCAGTACACCATAACAAAAGTTCATTTCAAACGATGAGTTTCCCGCTAACGGGGCGTATGATGGTAACTTACATTTTTGACCATTCGAAGCAACTTGAGCTACAAAAACGTTTAAGATAAAGTTGTGATTTTAGAATATATTTGAATTGTAAATACACACACTAACTTACTAATGGAAGTGACGTCAGAGCCAGGACGATCAAGTATTGTATGAGGTTTGTAAAATCCCATCATTGTTGTCATAAATGGGCGAGTCCGAGTCCGGACTGGAAGATTTTTTGGCGGACTCGGACTTGGACTCGGACTTGGACTCGGACTGGAGATTTTTTTAAAGGACTCGGACTCGGACTTGAGTTTTTGTATTTCGAGTCCGATCGATTCAAGTTTTAACATAAATGAACACTAAATTTTTTCTTTAGTTT